CAGACACTGTTCAGAGGTGTGTACTGTTTTCCACTCCTTGTAAATGTACATTTGATGATGGACCACAGGTTCTCAACAAGGAGGCCATGTCATTAGATTTTCTTCTTTTTATACCCTTTCTTGCCAGCCACGCTGTGGAGTACTTGGACGCGTGTGATGGAGCATTGTCCTGCATGAAAATCATGTTTTTCTTGAAGGATGCAGACTTCTTCCTGTACCACTGCTTGAAGAAGGTGTCTTCCAGGAACTGGCAGTAGACTGGGAGTTGAGCTTGACTCGATCCTCAACCCGAAAAGGCCCCACAAGCTCATCTTTGATGATACCAGCCCAAACCAGTACTCCACCTCCACCTTGCTGGCGTCTGAGTCGGACTGGAGCTCTCTGCCCTTTACCAATCCAGCCACGGGCCCATCCATCTGGCCCATCCATCTGGCCCATCAAGACTCACTCTCATTTTATCAGTCCATAAAACCTTAGAAAAATCAGTCTTGAGATATTTCTTGGCCCAGTCTTGACGTTTCAGCTTGTGTGTCTTGTTCAGTGGTGGTCGTCTTTCAGCCTTCTTACCTTGGCCATGTCTCTGAGTATTGCACACCTTGTGCTTTTGGGCACTCCAGTGATGTTGCAGCTCTGAAATATGGCCAAACTGGTAAGTGGCATCGTGGCAGCTGCACGCTTGACTTTTCTCAGTTCATGGGCAGTTATTTTGCCTTTTGGTTTTTCCACACGCTTCTTGCGACCCTGTTGACTATTTTGAATGAAACGCTTGATTGTTCGATGATCACGCTTCAGAAGCTTTGCAATTTTAAGAGTGCTGCATCCCTCTGCAAGATATCTCACTATTTTTGACTTTTCTGAGCCTGTCAAGTCCTTCTTTTGACCCATTTTGCCAAAGGAAAGGAAGTTGCCTAATAATTATGCACACCCTGATATAGGGTGTTGATGTCATTAGACCACACCCCTTCTCATTACAGAGATGCACATCACCTAATATGCTTAATTGGTAGTAGGCTTTCGAGCCTATACAGCTTGGAGTAAGACAACATGCATAAAGAGGATGATGTGGTCAAAATACTCATTTGCCTAATAATTCTGCACTCCCTGTATATCATCAGTCAAAGTGCCGTTTGTGTGTGAAAAATGCAAAAAATTGCACTTTTGCTGACGATCATCGTTTTGATATTTTTTACTGTTTTGAAACACCAATATTTGTGTCCAGCAAAGTCTCCCAAGTAAAACAATACCCCCCATGTACAGGTTTTATGGTGTCCTGGAAAGTTACAGGGTTAAAGATAGGGCTTGCAAACCAAATTCTCTGGACTTTCTGCCTGGGTTGTCAGGCAGGTCCCTAAAATTGTAATTAATAAAATGACTTAATTATGTAAAAATATAAATATAGAGGTCAGGCACTCCCCCTTCAGGCACTGTACCTGGCTATTTCGGCCTGCGATCACGAGGGCCCCGCAATCACATGGCCCGGGGGGCCGGAACAGTCGCAGGGGGACTGCCTGGGATGTCAGGCAAGTCCCCACATCATGATCGCCAGCGATCAGGTAAGTGGAGATTTGGGATCGGGCGTACCAGGTACGTCAGCGGTCGTTAACAAACCATTTTTTGTCGGATGTAACTGGTATGTCCAAGGTCTGAAAAGTGTTAAGCACCGCTTTCAAAAACATGCCAAAGTTTTAAAGTAAAAGTAAGAAGCAGAACCGCCCATAGGCATACCTTTGACAAGGTAAACTTTTCCTCAAACAATCAGGATGAATAGGTAAAATTCAATGACAAATTTAGCCATGAGTGTAGCCTGACCACACTGACTCATTTAAAAGCATCTTCAAAGGAAGTGTATGAAAATGAAGATGGATGCATCAACGTCATTATTAAAATATGCACAATCCGGGTATTAAAAGTGAATAAGCCTATAAGTTCCTTTCCTTTCCCTTTTTTATTTTTTATTTTTTTATTATTTATTTATATATTTATTTTATCTCTAATTAGCTCAAATTTAATTAATAGAACTATGATTTAAAACAAGATGCCAAAAGATTTACAACTGCAAACAGGAATCCTAAAACCCAAATGACAACCATCATCAATTAATTGTGCCATCTGACGGTTTGGATAGCAGCTTAACATGGGCGCAGCTTTTGCATTTTTTAAAGGTCCTGGCTTTTAGGAAGTCACTCCCTACTAGTGGCACACCTCCTTTTAAAATTATCGAAAGGAGGGGTGATTCCTGGCACAATTCAAATACACATGACTTAATTTGTTTGAATTGGACCATTTACATTTTGCAACATTAAAAACCCAACAGACACCTTTCAGAGACATAAATAATTTATACATTATATAGCCCTATAATTTTAATTTAACCTATAATTTTTTTAACTTTTTTTTATATAATTATACTAGGAAATCCTCCAAAATTCTTATGAGCTTAAATGTCCTCAAATTAGGAAAAAGGGCACTAGCCTTATCATACTTACGTTCACAATAAACACAAACAAAAATTTAAAAAGGCTTGAAGTCAAATATTAAATACCTGAAAAATTGAATAAATAAACAAATAACTGTGTACGCTGAGGTAATTGTGAGAAGACAGCCTTTGTTGGATTACTAGCCATACTCTGAATAAACTGCAATAATTACCTCAAACCTCCCCTAGCTTTACCTGTTGGTTAACCCCAGGGAGGCACTCACCAGATAAATGGTCTGCTCCTTCTACCAGAACCGTACCGGCTTGTTTACCGGTTCCTGAAACCGGCACTTACCCAGCTTCTGAAAGCTGACAGGATTTTTTCTGCTTTCTTCCTGAATCTCTTGTTTTCTTGCTTCTTCTGATGGATGATGGTGAATGAATTTTTCTTGGTCTGCAAACTCTTCTTGCTTTTTTGTTTTTTTGTTTTTTAGATATTCTCCTGCCATTAGTAGTGACAGTAATACTAATTAGTGATACTAATTCAGTATGAGAGAATACTCACAGTCAGCAGCAGGGAGAAGGCATAGCAGGAAAGGAAAGGCAGGCAGCTACTGCAGCATAAGATTCTGAAGGCGCCCACTTCACTGTTTTCTTCTTTTGGCGCCAAGCAGCTTATACACAACGGCTTATATACCACATTTTCCTGCCAAAATTGCCCATGCAGACAGGCTCTCCAATTGGAGCACTGTCTGTGAAGCCACTAAAGATAACTGCCAACCTTGAGGGCATCATGTCAAAATTGATGCCCTCACGATGCTAAGCGAGCATGTGCAGCACGTGGCACAAATTAACTCTCCCAACCCCGCAGCGCACATGTGTACATGGTCATTTGACCATGTACAGTCTGTTTGTCAAAATTATATCATGTTTCCCACTTGGATGGTAAATAAATACAACCAATCACCTGAAGCAAAGTTTCTGATCATTATAAGCATAGTAAATGGTTTTGCGGTTCTGGAAAATACACTCAAATCCTCTCTCACTTCCTTATCAAGATATAACGGTTTGAATATTAGCAATTTGGCATGATACCAGTGATAACAGTCACAAAAATACAATGCAAAATGGCCATTTTTGTTGTTGCATAACAGAGCACCACGAATGTGGCATCGATTCAAGCTAAGGGGGAATCACTTATATCTGGAAAACTTTGGTTATCTTTAATAGTATATTTGATATCCAAAAATTATATCATATAACATGGGTTAAATTTTTGTGGATATAAGGGAATATTAAAAACATTATGCCATGTTGTATGTACAGGTGTTTTTTTTTTCATGTGAAGCAGATATGTGACATGGTTAGACTTTGCATGAACTAACAGGGAAATGTAAAAGATTTCTTTTTATCGTAAGCATTTTATGAGGCATATAGGTGTACACTTTTTATGTATCTTTTTAATTTCAGTATGTTTTTTTATAGTAATCATAATTCTATAAATTGTTATAACATTAACGTACAGTTGCAAGAAAAAGTATGTGAACCCTTTTGAATGATATGGATTTCTGCACAAATTGGTCAGAAAATGACCTGCACTGTGAATGTTTACATGGTGTGTTCAATAAAAACATGGCAACATTTCATTCTTTGTGTGTTATTAGTTTAAGCAGACTGTGATTGTCTATTGTTGTGACTTAGATGATGATCAGATCACATTTTATGACCAATTTGTGCAGAAATCCATATCATTCCAAAGGTTTCACATACTTTTTCTTGCAACTGTATATAGTTAAAGACAAAAACAGCACAGCCCAGACTTAAAGGACCACTACTGTGCCAGGAAAACAAACTCGTTGTCCTGGCACTATAGGGTCATTAGGTCCCCCCAAACTCAGGGCCCCACTCCCGCTGGAATGAAGGGGTTAAAACCTCTTCAGCCACCTACCTTTCTCCAGCACCCTGCTGGTGACCTCTCATCCCCCTGCCGACGTCAGATCCGAATGCGCATGCGCGGCAAGAGCTGCGTGCGCATTCAAACCGCCCATGGGAAAGCATTACTCAATGCTTTCCTATGGACGTCCAGCGTCTTCTCACTGTGATTTCCACAGTGAGAATCGCGGAAGGGCCTCTAGCGGCTGTCAGTGAGACAGCCACTAGAGGCTGGATTAACCCTCAGTGAAACATAGACGTTTCTTCTAAACTGCTATGTATTCAGCTGCAGGGTTAAAACTAGAGGGACCTGGCATCCAGACCACTTCATTGAGCTGAAGTGGTCTTGGTGCCTATAGTGGTCCTTTAAGTTTTATAAGTTTTTGGGTTGTGTATCAACTATACAGACAGTTGTGCTTTTAAAAATGTTTTCTCAGAAATTTTCACAAATTAGGTTTGACATATTACACATAACATATTGTGATCCTTTATGTTTTGTGGATGAATGGCAGAATGATGCCACCTACTTTTCAGATTCCTATATTTAAATAGAGATAACATTACAATGATAAAACAGAATAGGAAAATGAACTAATTCCAGTCATAAAACCATAACAAGTTTTGTTTTGAGGATTTACATTTTTGCTTTACTGGAGATACGAAAATATTGTATGTAGTTTCTATGACTGCAACTAAAGAGGAATGACCATGAGTTTTCTTACATAAGAATTATAGATGGATAATGTGAGAATTAACTTGACTCACTCAATACAATAAGAAATTAAATTTTAATTATGAACAGTCCATGCAGATGAAAATCACAAACATCTTGCTTTCCACAAAGGGTACTTACCCTTTATGCATTTTCCAATCTCAATTGGAAACAATGTTTGATATGTAACAGTCAAATTCTCATAGACTTTGCATAATTGTGGTATTTCCCTATATATTTAATTATCAAACTGTAATCACTCAACAGCATCTTCATAGTATTTTGCAGTACACTGCTTATACCAAATGGTACGTCTCTGTCTTGAAGTGCAAAAAACAGAGGGATTAAATTGTAAATTGACATGAGGGGAAGTACCAAAATTACTCTGGAGAGCTTTCCATAAAATTCATCAATGAATCCTGAGGAGGGACACTCCTGATCTCGACCATTCAGGATACAAATAGTATATCGTGGACTAGGGTCAGTTTGTTTGCCCTGACTGCTGAAGATTCTGAAATAAACATCCTCTCATATTGTCCAAAAATTCCTGCTTGATTCATTTTTTAATCTTTATAATCACACAAGCTTAACTGCTCCCCTTACATATTTTTGTAAGGGTAATCAACCAATTAGATTATAAGGAGTAATCAGAAAAGTTAAATCCAGCTGTAGAGGTAAGGATGCCAGGAGTACCCTGGTCCCATATTTTATTAGTGGGGCAAGCCATATCATGGTGGGGACCCCCTAGTTATCTGGGTCCTCAGTGGTCAGAAGTTGAACCCACTGTCCATCCACTGGTGCCAGCTGACAGCTCTTAGCCAATGAATGCAATTCTGTGCATGGAAATATGTACAGAATCGACATGAGTCAGCTCAGAAATCAACCTCCAACTGTGTTGTAAGCTGACACGAGCAGCTCACACACATGTATAAAAGTACATATATACATTTATATACACAATATAAAGGTTTGACTGTGACTTGAATATGAGAAGTTAATTTTAGTGATTACACGTTGATCCAAATATTAAAATATTATAATCCCCATTCACACAAATTCAAAGATTTATTTCACTTATTATATTAATTTAAAATTTACTTTAATAAATTAATGCAATTGGTACAATTTTTTTAAGAAAACAGCTTCAAAATAAATCACCAAAAGGTTAAAGTCTGAGTGAAATTATCAATGCAGTTCTGGTGATGTACAAGTCCACCTGTCAGAGGTTCTCTATCAAATAATAAAAAACATTTTTTTCCAGGTTGTTTACATCTTAAACTTACACACTGGCAAGGAATCCACTAACATTGTGTGTAAGCAGATCACAGGATAAGTGCAAAGGCTCAGCACTGGCACTTGAAACGTTAAGACATCTGCTTCATTTTTAGGCACCTGCTTGGTTCATATAAGGCTCCATTCTTCGTTGTCATTAAAAAATGTTTTTTTAAATTGGAGCAAAACCAGATACAAAACTGTTGAAACCCAGCACTGAGAACAGGTGCTCTTTAATAGTAACAATTTGTATTGTACCTTCTCGTACCCTTGTCAGGAGTCCTTAAAGTCCCTTGATGTACATAAATTCCTTAAAACCATAGTCCACCCCATATTAACTTATTTGGAATCATTGAAAGATACTCCCTAAACCTGCCAGGGAGAAATGTTTAAATAAAGTACAAAGGAATAGTTCACATGTATTTGGCAAGACCCCTCGGGGTCCCTTGTCACAAAACTAAAGTATGTTAACTTTCTGTGAGCAGGTCAAATTACTATGGACAAGTTTCCACATATTCATAAGATCATCTGGTAGGAGTTTGTGCACCACTAGCATGTTTTTGAAGAAGCATGGCTCCTTGTTCATCTTGCTATTTTTGTTCTTGACTATCCCAAAGGTTTTAAATCCTTCATGCATGATAGGACTTACATTGATCACTTCCAAACACATTCCTAAGAAAACGTCATCAATTGGGTACAGCTCCAAAGTCTCTGATGCTTTGTACAATTTGTGAACCAAGGGACCTGCCATGACAAATCCTCCACCACCTGCATATGGAGGATAGTGACTTTTGTTATAAAGAGAGGTTGGTATGTAGTACTTGTTTTCTTTTTTACGAATGGGTCGAGCTTTCTGTAGTACATCGCCCGCGAAGAGATCAGGGGAACTATTTCCTTCCAGGTATTCAAGGATGTTATTGGGACTAACATACACATCATCGTCCCCTTTAAATATATAGTGCACACCGTGGCAGTAAATGTTCATCCACTTTAGAAAGTGGACCTCTTTTAAAGTCAGATTAAAGAAGGAATCTAGAAAGTCCCATTGTAGTATATCTCCATATATCTTATTTTCATACTCCAAAAGTTTTTGGTAATTGGCTCGCTCATCTTCTTTCATTGCTGTCCCCAAGAGAAAGAGTGTCTTTATTTTTTTACCATCCACCTCCTTCTCCTTGCCCCACGTTTTGCGAATTACTTCTCTGCGATCATGCTGAGTAATTATTGATTTAACCACTATTAAAAGTGTGATGCTCCCACTACATTTTTGTGGGTTATTTATAATCATAGGGAAATAGCGGCAGTGCCTGTACAGTAGGAATTGCTGGAAGTTAGGCTCCAACGTTGTGAACCAACTTAATTTGGTGAGGTTCGAGTTGGCAGTGCAATTAATGGAGATTATATCCCACTCTGACGGGTGGTCAGTGTTATAAGGTGTCTCCGTGAAGAGTCTGTCTGCCTTGGGTGCCCAGAAGCCATCATTGCTGAGGTGAGTCTCTCTTTTATGTGCACTCAAAAGCTCTGAGGATTCCAAACGCTTCTGTTCATCTTGAGTGAAAAGACCAGGAGGAGAACCCCTTTGCAAGACAGTCACCGTGATGGCTAAAAAGAAAGTCAAGCACACGCCTCTGTATAATTTCTTCTTCCTGGTGACAGAAACAACAAAGTTATCTCAGGAGTTGTATTTTTTTTTAATGTATTTTACAATAAACATTAAAAAAGAACAAAATAAACAAGTAAATGTTTCAGTCATATTACAGGAACATACTTCCTTCAATTTCACCTAGTGTCCATATCTTTCATACCATTTGTATAATTACTTGTTTTATGTCTATATTTATTCTGTATGTTGAAATCCAAATATACAATTTTTTTTAAAAAATCCTATTTTAGTGAAAAGGTTTGTCAAAGTACTCATCTCTCTTCAATTATTTGAGCTTTATTCTAATGGTAAAAACTAAACAAACAGCTTAAAAAGAAACTATTTTCACCAAAAAAAAAACAGCAAACTAAAATGCATTATAAGTATCTTTACCAACTTTAACAAAGGTCAGATTCTATTAACTAAACTGTACTTTGCCCCATTATGTCTCACCCTATACCCTCCCAATCCCCCGGGCCACTGTTTTATTAATATACAAGCCTTTGTGGGACTGGCAATAAATTGGCACAAATAAAATAAAACTCCTCCTGGGGAGGGGCTCTTCTCCCTTCTAAATATATTTTCTCTACCTGCCAACCAGAGGCTCTCAAATATGTAGGGATATTTATTCATAAAACCCTACCTCAAATCTATAACCTAAATATTCCTCCTATCCTTTCTCCCACCTTCATCAAAAAAGACCACTTGAGAACGTTACCCATATCCTATATTGGCAGGGCCAACCTATACAAACTTCCCGATAAGACATTACTGACAATCCTTAACATGACACTTTCCCTTCAGGACTAGAATAACCCTCTTGATTGTCTTCAGCGAGCCACCACCTTGACTCTCTACTCCACCTCCAAACTTTGCATTATCGAACTCTACATACCAGACTGGTCCAAAATATGCACATGATTTAGTAACTGGTTGTCCAACTTCGCCAGCCTAACTCCCACTAATAAAATGAGCACCCACTCCTTTCAAACTTAAACACTCCAGATGATCTCTTATAGAAACATGGTTTTGAAAATTGCCCACTATGCCTACTACTCCCCCACCAACTCTACCTAATGGGCATAAGGTCCATCCCCACTTGCTTTAAATGTGCACACCCGATGTTTACCATCTTATTTCAAATACACTTCAATGCCTCCCTTACCATTTTCCCTGGGATTACTTGTTCTAAGTAATCTCCCCACTGTCTCCCTCTCCCAGTAAACATTTCACACCATAATAGCAGCTGTGAGTTGCAAAGCCATACTCCAGATTGGAGCCAGCAGGGTACTCCACCGCTCCATTTATTTCTGTCCAAACTTAACCTTCTATTTAAAATGGACTGGCTTAATACTGTAACGAATAAAGAGTTCCTGGCTACACCGCTCAGTTCTCCTCCGAGATGGTTGCATGCTGTAATTCCATGCAATATTCTACTCTTGCCTAATATGATATTTCATTGTTTATTTACTGTAACTACATACTGCCTTGCCTACCATGGCGGTTCCCTGAAAATTGGCAATGCCTTTAAGTTTATCTTCTTGTTCTTTACACAGTGCTAGACTGCACTGCACACCATTGTATTACTTTGTGTCCTCCTCTAGATCCCCTCTATCTACTGTCTTCTCTAATTGGAGATCCCAACTCCATTAATTGGGTGGCTGGAGCGTGGGGAAGAGGACAGTTACTGGTTAGTTCACTTAGGTTTGGGTTGAATCTATTTTCTTTTGTAGTATAAAATGAAAGGAGGATGTAAAAAAAAATTCAATTGTCATTGGCATTTAAAAAAAAATAAAAAAATAAGACGATAGGGATCCTGAAACATTTTGTTATTGTTTGCTCTTCTTTGAAGTTATGGGGGTCCATACGTTTATAAGTCCTACTATTAAAGAGTTTTTTTCATTAGTGTTGTCCTACTGCAGTTACCACACTCCCTTCTGTTTTTCTAAGCAAGATATTGAGAAGTGTAAATGATTAATATCATTTTCATTTTTAGTGTCAACATTTTGTGTGTAAATTTACAGTTATACACTAAAATTTATCAACAAGGAACTGACAAAAATAAATAACGTTGGCAGACATAGGAGGTGAAGAATGCTCAGCTTAAATGAGCTCACAATCTAGTGTAGATAGATAACTAATCTATATATTCCTGAATACTGTAACGCTATGCCCTTAAAAGGGACACTGAAACCATCTTATAAGGCATTGTATATGTTATAAATTAAACTACTTAAAAAAAGATACTCACTTTAAACTCATACACAACTCCATTCAGAGTTTTGTGGCTTGGGCTGTGTACAAAGTGTGTATCAGTATGAGAGCAGTGCTGAAAAGGATAGCTAGGTGTGTATGTACACGGAATGTAATGTCAGATGAAATTGAATTACTATGATGTTCAGGCAACATCAGGCACTACAATAGCACCACGGGATTCCAGACACTATAACCAGTTCATTGAGATGAAGCAGTTACAATGCCTAGTGTCTATTTAAAGGGACACTATAGTCACCCAGACCACTTCAGCTCAATGAAGTGGTCTGGGTGGCAGGTCCCTCAGGTTTTAACCCTTCACATGTAAGCATAGCAGTTTCAGAGAAGCTGCTATGTTTACATAGCAGGGTTAATCCAGCCACTAGTGGCTGTCTTCATGACAGCTGCTAGAGGCGCTTCTGCGATGCTGGATGCAAAATTTGCAACCAGCGTGCAGAACATCCATAGGAAAGTATTGAGAAATGCTTTCCTATGTACTGTTTGAATGCGAGCGCAGCACTTGCCGCTCATGCGCATCCCGCTCCACTCGGGAGCTGACGTCGGCGAAGGAGAGGTCACCAGCACCGAGGAAGCCTGGCGCTGGATTAAGGTAAGTGGCTGAAGGGGTTTTAACCCCTTCAGCCCAGCATGAGGGGGACCGTGAGGGTGAGGGTCCCCCGAAGATGACATACAAACTCGTGACACAATAGTGATCCTTTAAGGACTAAATAAGGATCTGTAGTTCCTGTGATCCTTAGCCATTAAAGGAACACCTTGGCACCTTCACAACTTTATTAAAACTGTTATGGACCCCGGAAGCCTTTGTATGCTTTCTTTCCTGAAGGGGGTAAACCATTCTTGAACAGTTTCTCCCCAAATAATGCTTCCAGTGCCAGATCTCCCATTCCCCCATCGGCATCTAGCTTCTAAATTTGGCTAGCATATTAGGAATGGGGAGCTACTAATTTGCTTAGAGCATCAGCTGACCACTCTTCTCAATCAGTGTCGACTCTGCCCGGTGGCACTCCATTTTTCATGATTTCAGAAGACAGATGCTGCTGGAGGAATTGGAGATTTACCGCTAGAGGAAACCTTTGGGGTTATACTTTTGAGGACATTTTAACCCCTTCTTGTAAGAAAGAGACCACGACCCTCCTGGCACAGTTGTTATGGTGCCCAGAGTGTTCCTTTAATGCTTGCGGAGAGCAACATAAGAATTTAACATTTCCTAAAATATGATGTGTCAGCAAATGAATATCAAATTTAGGCCAAAATAGTCACATTTTTTAATTATCTAAGTCAGATATGTTTGATTATTTTGGTTTAACTTTTCAAATTCACTTTCAATTCCTGACAATGCACACCGTAATGAATGACCCTGTATATGAGATGTATGTTTATTGTTTTTTTATTATTAATGCATTGATTTCTTAAAGGAATAGAAGCACAGTATACTTAGGTGTATCTGAGCAGTTCCTATATTTTTCCTCACATGGCAATCCCTTGTACCTCTACAGATGATCAGAGAGGTTAACGTTTCTCATTCCAAACAGCTTTTTGGTGCCCCTCACACATTCTGCTCCACAAGTTTACATTTCAGAGAAGCCTCTTCAGTTTCGAGGTAATTAAATGGGGCTTTGGAATGAATGGTGTCTTTCTCCTGAGTAAGCAGTAAAATGCTGGCTTACTGGGAGGGAAGGTACATAGGAATCAAACTCAGCTTTGTGAGGACTGCCTGGCACTGTGGATCCATGTGGAACAGGACCATGGATACATAGATATACATAAATGTGTAAGCAAGAACTACATGCTTATGCAAAGACACCACTGGCATTTATACACAAAAAATTAACTTTTCATCTTGCAATCTGAATTCCAGTATACAAATATTGGAGTTAATTTTACTTACTACAAAATCAATTTAAAAAAATATACACACATCTATATATCTACTGCATACACGGTTTTCAATTCTAAACCTTTCCTTTTTGGCAAATAAATTAAAAGAAAAAAATACGTATTTTCATACATTCACAGTAATATACTAAAGTGAGAATTCCAAGTGAATTCCAGATTTAAGGAGTAGCCAAACTGGAAGCATCAGTGACTTGGAGAACAATTTCCCTAGTCTGGCTATTTCCACATTAATTTTGGAATTCACTTTGATTTTGAATCTCAATTTAGTGAATAATAATGAAAGTGTTGTCCAAAACATGCATATTTACTTGTAATCGCTTCTATAGGATTATTTGGCTATTATTAATATATTATGTGTTAATTTATAAATGTTTTACAAAGAATTTCTCTATACACAAGACTTTATAGGGGATTTATTCACTAAATTGGGAAATGTGGAAATTTTACAAGGGGATCGGAAATCTTAAGCCAAAATAGTCAAGCTGAAACAATGACTGAATTAGGCTGAATTGGGCAAATTCTTCTACAATTGCCAATTCCATTTGACAGTTTTACATAAATCTCTGTTTATTGAATAATTACATTACAGATACGGCCTCACACATTTCACATAGGCTCCCAGATATCCTCTGACTAATAGGGCGTCGATTTAACAAGATTTCCAAATTATTCAATAGTCTTAGAAAAACTTTCCAAATGAGTTATAGTTTATACCGTGCAGACACACACACATGCACATTCACAGTTACAAACACTTACACACATACAGGGAGTGCAGAATTATTAGGCAAGTTGTATTTTTGAGGATTAATTTTATTATTGAACAACAACCATGTTCTCAATGAACCCAAAAAACTCATTAATATCAAAGCTGAATATTTTTGGAAGTAGTTTTTAGTTTGTTTTTAGTTTTAGCTATGTTGGGGGGATATCTGTGTGTGCAGGTGACTATTACTGTGCATAATTATTAGGCAACTTAACAAAAAACAAATATATACCCATTTAAATTATTTATTATTACCAGTGAAACCAATATAACATCTCAACATTCACAAATATACATTTCTGACATTCAAAAAACAAAACAAAAACAAATCAGTGACCAATATAGCCACCTTTCTTTGCAAGGACACTCAAAATCCTGCCATCCATGGATTCTGTCAGTGTTTTGATCTGTTCACCATCAACATTGCGTGCAGCAGCAACCACAGCCTCCCAGACACTGTTCAGAGAGGTGTACTGTTTTCCCTCCTTGTAAATCTCACATTTGATGATGGACCACAGGTTCTCAATGGGGTTCAGATCAGGTGAACAAGGAGGCCATGTCATTAGATTTTTTTCTTTTATACCCTTTCTTGCCAGCCACGCTGTGGAGTACTTGGATGCGTGTGATGGAGCATTGTCCTGCATGAAAATCATGTTTTTCTTGAAGGATGCAGACTTCTTCCTGTACCACTGCTTGAAGAAGGTGTCTTCCAGGAACTGGCAGTAGGACTGTGAGTTGAGCTTGACTCCATCCTCAACCCGAAAAGGCCCCACAAGCTCATCTTTGATGATACCAGCCCAAACCAGTACTCCACCTCCACCTTGCTGGCGTCTGAGTCGGACTGGAGCTCTCTGCCCTTTACCAATCCAGCCACGGGCCCATCCATCTGGCCCATCAAGACTCACTCTCATTTCATCAGTCCATAAAACCTTAGAAAAATCAGTCTTGAGATATTTCTTGGCCCAGTCTTGACGTTTCAGCTTGTGTGTCTTGTTCAGTGGTGGTCGTCTTTCAGCCTTTCTTACCTTGGCCATGTCTCTGAGTATTGCACACCTTGTGCTTTTGGGCACTCCAGTGATGTTGCAGCTCTGAAATATGGCCAAACTGGTGGCAAGTGGCATCGTGGCAGCTGCACGCTTGACTTTTCTCAGTTCATGGGCAGTTATTTTGTGCCTTGGTTTTTCCACACGCTTCTTGCGACCCTGTTGACTATTTTGAATGAAACGCTTGATTGTTCGATGATCACGCTTCAGAAGTTTTGCAATTTTAAGAGTGCTGCATCCCTCTGCAAGAAATCTCACTATTTTTGACTTTTCTGAGCCTGTCAAGTCCTTCTTTTGACCCATTTTGCCAAAGGAAAGGAAGTTGCCTAATAATTATGCACACCTGATATAGGGTGTTGATGTCATTAGACCACACCCATTCTCATTACAGAGATGTACATCACCTAATATGCTTAATTGGTAGTAGGCTTTCGAGCCTATACAGCTTGGAGTAAGACAACATGCATAAAGAGGATGATGTGGTCAAAATACTCATTTGCCTAATAATTCTGCACTCCCTGTACAATGTGTCTCCTAGAGGAAGGAATTATTGACTTTTAATTGATATAAATCATGTGTTAAGCAAAAATGCTTTTTCAATGTATTCCTACCTTTTACATCTAATTAATAAAAAGTTATCTTATTTAAGCTGATCGTAATTTTCATCTAGATAACAGGTGAATCATGTTAGGACCAGTAGGTCTGGGGCTGCGGAAGTGGTGGAGAGAGGCAGACTATATTCCCAGACAATGACTTATCCAAAATCATTCCCGTATTATCCAGTAGGCGTGAGGGTCCTGATCAGCCCCCTTACAAGGTGCATCCTCTCCTGTCCTCCAATATTCCAAGGGGGAAAAAAAAGTAGGGTTGGCGTGACTTATGAATATCTATATAGATAAGTAACTAAATTGACATGGCAATAGCACAATACTTCTATCAACCTTGTTTCCAGTTTACCCTATAGAAAAAGTATACCCAGTAACCATGTTTACCGGTGAGTTCAGAGCAAAAAAAGACACACACATAGAAAGCCAATCACCATACTAAGAAGTTTACCAAAAAAAGTACATATGATATTAGATAAACAAATACTGGAACTGAAAGACAGTCTCTATATAGGGGTTAAGTTAGACAGTTCACCTGATGCAATACTATATTTCACTCATAATGAAGAAAATCAAGTATGCCAAGTTTATATACTGATTGTTAGATCTGTGTAAAAATATAGCATATAACTTTTTATCAGCCCTGGTTAATTTTACCATATAAAGAAAAAACAGAGACTAAAACATCATCAAATGCAATACTAAATTTCACCAATTTTATAGATAGCATACAAGGCCAATCCAGCAAGAGCACAATACTTTCTAACAACCCTAAATCAATTTACTAGGAAGGGGGGGGGAAGGGTGGAAATTAATTGTATAACCCCCTAAGGAAATTTAAATAGGCTTGCATATAGTCAACAGAAATCTACCTCTTAGGGCATAATAACAATCAACTGCTCCTTAGCAAGTATTAAAATTAGGTAAATACAACCTTAGATGAACAACAACAAATCACATATTCCGCGTGTCATAATTTATTTAACAAAAATAAAGCCAAAATGGAGAAGCCATGTGTGGAAAACTAAGTACACCGTATGATGTTTACAACGTTGCCTCAGTTCTTTAAGGTTTGCTGGTATTTGTTCATGCATGGCTCTCATAAGGTCCTGTCACAGCATTTCAGTCAGGTTGAGGTTTGGACTTTGACTGGGCCATGGTAACACCTTGATTCCTTTCTTTTTCAGCCATTCTGCTGTAGATTTGCTGATGTTGTGCTTTGGATCATTGTCCTGTTACATAACCCAATTTCAGCCAAGCTTTAGTTGTCGGAGAGATGGCCTCACATTTGACTCTAGCATACTTTGGTATACAGAGGAGTTCATGGCATATCCACTTTAGTCTTGTGTGTCCAATGGACAATGTTCCAGAAGTCTTGTGGTTTGTTTAGATGCAACTTTGCAAACCTAAACCATGCTGCCATGTTCTTTTTAGAGAGAAGAGGCTTTCTCCTGGCAAACCTTCCAAACAAACCATGCTAGTTCTGTCTTTTTCTTATTGTACTGTTAGGAACCTTAACATTTAACATGCTAACCGAGGCATGTACAGTCTAAGATTGCACGTTCTGACCTTGGGGTAAATTTGCTGGGATGTCCACTCCTGGAAAGATTGGCAACTGTCTTGAATGCTTTCCATTTTTGAATAATCTTTCTCACTGTACAATGATGGACTTTACATTACTTGGAAATAGCCTTATAACCCTCCCCAGTTTGATGGGCAGCAACATTTGCTTCTTTAAGATCATTGCTAGTGTCTTTTCTCATTGGCATTGTTTTAACACACACCTGAATTCTCCAGATCAGTAAACTGACAAAACTTTGACTTTTATAGAGGTGGCCACACTTGCTGATGATCAATTAATCAAGGGTATTTTATTAGCATCACCTGTCTACTATTTAGCCTCTTAATTCCTATGGAAGTAGCAAGGGAGTATTTAGTTTTTCACACATGGCTTCTCCATTTTGGCTTTATCTTTGTTAAATAAATGTGTTTTATGTAATGTGTTGTTCATCTGAGGTTGTATTTACATAATTTTAAGACCTGCTAAGGAAGAGATGTTTGTTATTATGCCCTGAAATGTAAAGGCATGGAATTCAAAGAGTGTGTTCTTTCTTTTTCCCATGTCTGTAGATTGTTGTGCAGACAAACTAAAAACCATATTACTTTACATAGTTTACATTTTTAACTTATTTGTTTATTCTTTATAAACATATTTTGGGAATGAAAAGCTTTAGACGGTATACAGTGCCCTTTATCTTGCAGTATTTCACACAGAGTCTGAAATATTAATATAAAAGAAAAAATGCTATTTTTCTCAGGTGTGACAAAATATATAAATAAAAAAATAGTCAAAAACTTTGCCTATGTGTATTTGTAAGGACCCTGCAGGCATTACTAGTAGTGCACTTTACTATAAAAAATAATATACAAAGAATGTCTGAATTTGAACATAATGCATAATGTTAAATTATACATTTCTAAAATAAAGGTACCGGTACTTAAAATGGCTATAGCACTTTCTTCAGTGTCTGTGATGCTAATGTAATGCTGACAGTGAAATGCTAGAGTCTATTCACTACCCCCATCTCTGACTGTAAGAATGCTATCACCCAGTGAAACTTTCTGCACTATTTGACAGTAATGGGTAAGTTAACATTTCAGAACTTTACAATTATTATATCAGGGACTGGTAGCTTCCCGCAGAGATATTCGTTAATCTACAGGCTGGTAGTCATTACTAGAGTGTAAATGAGGGTGAGTGAGGCTTTATGGACAATATTTCATTCGGCAAAATAAAATAAAATACAAATCTTTATACTCCAGGATTGTATTAAGGGGGTAAAGGAGACAAAGAGAAAGAACAGATTAAGAATGGAAAATGGGGGGGAGGGGTTGGGCTGATGGCTGCTATTACAGGAAAAGTGCCCTACAACTTTGAGACCAAATCGCCTTCTTCCAAGACCCAAGCAGAGGCACACTTGCATGGCGCAAGAGCATGCAGCCCATAACCACCACCCTACAAACAGCAGGAGTCACATACAGGTGGGCAACCCCTAGATCGCTCTGGTAACCAAGGACAATAAATCCTTCAAAGTATCTCACTCGGGAGAGGGTCCTGCCTTACCTGCTACACTGGGACTGCCCTACAGTACCACAGGTCTACCTACTACGCAACCTGGGACCACGACCTGAAGCCTACGCTGACCACACAAGTACTCTTCTGTTATTGTTATTGCTGTTCATGTTGTTCTTTTCTCCTTACACTTATAATCTACAGTTAAAATCTCTCAGTACGCACAGTACTCCCCACTGATGCCGAAGCACTGCCCACCCAACTGTAGTCTCATTTAAGCCTACACTGGCTGGGTAAAACAAGTTAGCTCTGGGGTGTGCAACACCCCCTCCACCCTACCCCCACCCCTGCCCCCCCACGCCCTTTAGGAATTAAGGAAAGCCAGCACAGGAGCAACCATGCAACACTACAAATGTACCCCCTGCTGACAGGTACCCTATAGTCATTACCTGAAGTGGATCACCGCTCTCGCTCTCCTACAACCCTAGCCAGTACAGAACAGACCACTACCACACTAGCATTACACTCAACCTAGCCAAGACTATCGAATTCCCTAATCAACCCATAGACATGACTTAACATAGTGCCTGAAAGTCAAGAGGACTAACCAATATACATAAGACATCCTAAACTATCAATGGTCGCCCTCACAGGCGGTACCTTACCAACTTGTCTATACCACTAAACGCCCCCGCCCAACCAGGCTGAGCCCATTTGAAAATTAAAAGCTCATGGAGCCGGACAGATCCCTATGACTGCCTTGGCCACTTCATAAAAGTGTACACTTTCTCTAAGCCATGTATGTATTGCACCCGTTTGACTATTTGATTATATGTTACTATGTTGAATGGTATTACGGATATGTTATGACTTAACTTTATGCACTGAAAACAAAAATAAAGAATTAAAAAAAAAGAATGGAAAATGTGGAAGGAAAAGGGTATAAGGTGCATTTCCCAGATCTAGGAATAACAGGATAGATAGCTCATAACAGCCAAAATAACATGAATTAACATTCATTCATTAGGATCTTGCATTTTGGAAAAGTAGTGTAGTATAGTTATAATGCATTTCAATTAAAATGTCTGTTTTTAGAATTACCTAGTGTTATGAATTATTTATTTATGAATATTTATAATCCATTTCTAAGGTTTTTCGTAATCTTTTTGGAGCCTTTCCTAAATGCAATTGTCCAAGAGACATTAGTAACTGTAAAGTATACTTTTAAAAAATAGGGATATATACAGACTGTTAATTTACATGCCATTACATGTAAATTATATTACATGCACTATACATTAAACAGCATCCACAGACACGAAAAGTTAAAAGTCAGTAGTCTTGATCCAGATTAAGTTGGAACACACGAGGACAGGAAGATTTCCCTAATTTTCCATCGTCACAATACCCTGTACATCTGTGCTCATTTCCTCTGTTCCCCCAGCACATTCCTGTTACATTCCCCACAGATAAAGCGTTCAGAGACCTCGACGGCCTGATTTCCTTCAGGATACAGTGAAATAAATTCGGAATCTAGTTATATCAATATCTACTTTGCAAAATAAAACCAGTTTGTCTGCTTTTACTAGCAGACGAAAGCTAGTAAAAATATTTGTGACAAGTGGAAAAGAGGCAATATACTTTGTAGCATTCCATTAGGATTATAACTAATGTTAGGAACTAAGCACAGTAGAGGCTAACGTGTCACATTGCATATGGGATTCTATACATGATTGGTATGGCCACACCCTTCATACACCTGCAAAGTGACAAAGAGTTTCACTAACACGGGTTACTTTTATGTGACAAAGATTTTCACCAACACTGGTTACTTATGCACCCATACTTGCTTGTTTCTAAAGGGTTAATATGATATGTTACATTTTTCTTTAGCATTTTTTTGGAGTGTCAGGTTTACAAGCACATTTGGGTGGTATTGTTTGATATTCTACACAAGTGTTGTTCTAAAACTGATCTGTTACAGCATCTATTTGTTGGATTTTGCTGCTTAAAGGGACACTCCAATGCCAAATACATATATTTTTTTTAAAATCACTATTTAATAGATACCCCAATCTTTATTGGGATTATATCCAAAACACGTTACAAAAGACACAGATCTCTTGACTGCAGCTTTTGCAAGCCCTCCCATCCTTCCCCAGCCCAGTCTTTCTGTGGCTGTCCAATCACAGACATCCAATGCTGTTCAATTAGAATTCTTTGCAAGGCATGTGCTCAGTTGTCTCCATCTAGAGTTTAGCTTCACTGTGCTGCACTTTTTGCAAAATGAAAATCCAAAGAACCCTGTCTTTTACACATTTCAGCAAGCTAAACTGCTTTAAAGGTTTGGAGTGTCTCTTTAAGATTTTGTAGTTGTGATTTACCCTGTTAACAGCTTTATTATTATTATTAAAGCAGAACTGTCACGATCATTAATTAAATATTGAAAATCACCTATAACTTGTGTTAGCCTTCTATTTATGTGCTGCTCCATTTACTTTTAAAATGTATACCAAAGATTTGGCAATTGGCATCACAATTCAGCTCAGTTAATGCACAGACAAGGCAAATAATGTTTTGTCTAATGACCAGGTACATTACTTGGGGACCCTAACTCAGCTCAGGGTCTGGGCCCCCTGGGGCCCGCCTCCTATCCCGCCCACAGAGTCCGCCTCCAAATCCCACCCACAGGAATACACACACACAGACACAAAAACACACACTGATACAAAAGGACACAGATACACACACACACACACACACACACAAAGATACATACTAACAGACACACATACTGAAACAGACATACACGCATATAGGCATAAGTACTGACACACACATACTGAGACATACACGCATATAGGCATAAGTACTGACACACACATACTGAGACATACACACATATATAGACACACAGGCATACATAGTGACAGATAGACACATACTAACATACATACAGACACACATGCATGAGGACATACATTCATTCATACTGGCATAGATACATATATACATACATACATACATACTGACAAACATACATTCATACAGACACTGACATCCATATACACATACATACACAGACATACCCCAGGGCCGCCGTGCCCGTGACAACCGTTATGGTTGTCACCCCCTGATGGCGGCCCTGAGTGCGAAACGCGGCCAGGGCTTCTCTAATCTTTCTTGAGGGTCTGCTTCTTTGGTGCTTTCCCCCCGTACAGCAGCTGCGGGTGGTCCTATGCTCAGGTTTTGGACTTTTTATACTTTGTTCACTCATAACCATTTTTTTCAATTTCACATGCTTGGATCAATACAGCATACGTGAGGACTGCTGTTCTAGTATCTTGCAATATGTATTTTCATTTTTTACTTCAATAAATGTGCATTTTTTTCTATGATTTCTTTCTAAAGTATTTTGGGGGATTCCCTATGAGTGCTGATCAACAAACTTGTCCTGTGTGAAGTACCATTTGATTACTGGGGAGATTCCAGCACCAAGAAGGTAACCCTGTTTTAGCACCTATTAACTGACATACCAGTTTCCACTTTTTTTTAATTTTGGAGTTGCGGCCACATGTATTCTGTAATTGAGGGATTTTCTTCACTTTTCTGCCTTTTTAATTCTACAAAATAGTCACAGCTTGAGTTTTATATTCTGAATTTTGCAACTTGGTGTACAATTCACAATTAGATGTTTAGTGAATAACCCCCCATTTTTTGGTGAAAGGCTCAATTAATAGTTAAAGGGACTCTAAAGTCACCAAAACCATATTAGCTTAATGAAGCCATTTTTGTGTTGCCCCTGAAGTCTCACTGCTCAATTTGCTGCCATTTAGGAGTCAAATCACTTTTGTTTTTGTTTATGCAGCCCTAGCCACTCATCCCCTGGCTCTGACTGACAGACTGCATGAAATAAAATGGTTTAATTTTCATTCAGATCTAATTTACTTTAAAAGGTTTTTTATCTCCTGTTCTCTAAATTGAACTTTAATCACACACAGAAGGCTTCTGCAGGGTCTAGTAAGCTATTCACAGAGTAGGAAATAAGAAATGTTAAATTAAACAGCATTTGTAATAAAGGAAGTTTAAACATTAGATTACTCTTTACAGGAATGTTTAGGAAGGCTGTGTAAATCACATGCAGGGAGGTGTGCCTTGGTCTGAATAAACAAAGTGATTTAACTCTATTTGTTATAGACAACAAATTAAACAGCAATATGCAATGTCAATTTGCTGTTGCTAAGGCCAGTAATGTTTTGTCATGTATAAATAGGGGCATAAATTCTCGTGATGAAAATATAATTTTGCCTCTTTATAAATTGCTGGTAAGACCACACCTTGAATATGCTGTGCAATTTTGGGCACATGTTCTAAAGAAAGATATCATGGCACTAGAAAAAGTGCAGAGACGAGCTAAATAATTGATAAAAGGAATGGAGCATTTTAGTTGCGAAGAAAGGTTAAAAAATGTAAATCTGTTTAGTTTGGAAAAACGGCACATGAGAGGGCATATGATAACATTATACAAATATATTCGGGGCCAATACAAACCTTTATCTGGAAATCTATTCATAAACAGGGCTATACATAGGACACGAGGTCACATTTAGACTGGAAAGGAGATTTCATCTAAGGCAAAGAAAAGTTTTTTTTAAATTAAGAGCAATAAGGATATGGAATTCTCTGCCTGAAGAGGTGGTTTTGTCAGAGTCTATACAGATGTTTAAACTACAATTTGATAAATACTTGCAAAAACATAACAAACAGGGATATAATTTCTATTTAGTGGGGTAATAGCCGCTTGATCCAAGGAGACATCTGACTGCTATTTTGGGGTCAAGAAGGAATTTTTTCCTAGTTTGTTGCAAAATTGGAAGCGCTTCAGACTAGATTTTTTTGCCTTCTTTTGGATCAACAGCAAAAACATATGTGAGGAAGGCTGAACTTGATGAATGCAAGTCTCTTTTCAGCTATGTAACTATGTAACTATGTAACTTCTAAAAGGTAGATAATTGAACACTGAGACTTCATGGGCATGAGCTATAGTTGGGCATGATCTATAGTTGGGCATGACTTCAAGGGCATGTTCTATACATCTATAGTTGCTTTGGTGACTAATGGGTTCCTTTAATGCATTTGAATCTAGAAACAAATGACTGTGAGATTATGCTATTTTGCAGTAAGACTGAAGAAGGTACAATGATGTAGAATTGTAGATGATAATCTAATAATATATGAAATGTTTTGAGTAGTGACAATTCTTAAGGATTTATGATCAGAATTGAAAGCATTTTAAGGAAGTGTTCGCCCTTTTACTAGTAATGGTTACCTTTACTTTGGTGTACTATTTTCCTTTACTATAAATAGTAAATAAAAAATTGAAAGACCATAACATCACAGTTAAGAAAGCAGGAAGGACCTCGCGACAGCTAGGGAATAAAGCAGCAAGTAGGGGGATGCGTGTACCTCAGCCACGGGATAAGCTGCACCATACAAGGTATTTACACAGAATACTGCCCCAAGAGGTGCTATATTGATCCCTAAAGCTAACCCCATCGAGCAAAAGTTGCCTAGACACAAAGGTGGGTAGTGGTAAAAAAATACCTTACTCTGTACTTAGACCTGACAAAATGTTTGTAAAACGTTTGAAAAACCTCAAATAAAAAATTGTCAAAAAAAAAAAAGAAAGCAGGAAGGAAATAAGGTTTCTGAAAACAAGTATGTGCAAAGTATTACTGCGATTCTTGAAGAAGAAAAAAATGGTAAGACTTGGAGATCAGTTATTTGTGCACATGTCAAAATTACAATTATGTCCAACAATAATAATGTGGTATATAAAGGCCTTTAGTAGACTTACACTGAAAGGACATTGGGATCAAATGAGCAAACAGTTTATAAAGAGGAACAAATTAAAATACCAGAAATTGTAACAGCTTTGTTACAGTTATTGCCAGTTAAACACAACAGGAAGATTATGCAATAGCTGGACAATTGTCACCATATTCAATGGCTGAGAATGATGGGAGAGACCAGTAGATATTGTAACAGATGGAGCGTGAAACCCAACACTATGATTGGAACAGTAAGTCATATTATATAGCTTGATCCATTAACTGCACAGGATACACTACAGTGCTGTGATTCTTCTAGCTACAACGTTCAGAAATGAAGTAATAAATTAAATCCAGGAGCTATTAATCAGGGCTTACAAATAACCATAATTATCACTTTCTTTGAAACGCTCCAAGGTAGGCTGCTTGCAAACAATGCCCAATTATAGCTATATAATTTCAATGGGTAGATCACCTTTTCAAATTCCGTACGGCACAGATGGTGATGTCATCTGGGCAATTATTTCCTGTAATGAAGGTTAATAATGCACAGATCGGCTCTGCACAGTTTGCAGACCCTAATCTCAAGCAGAACTAGGAAAAAAATATAATGTAGAATGATACAATCTTGGGGTACTGGAGACATTTAAAGGGACATTGTAGGCAACCCAGACCTCTTCAGCTCATTGAAGTGGCCTGGGTGCTGTGTCCCTTTTGCACCTAGTGCTGCAATGTAAAACATTGCAGTTCTAGAGAACTGCAATGTTTACATTGCAGCACTAAGTCTGCCCTCAGTGGCTGTCTAGCATACAGCCACTGGAGGGCTTCCGGAATCCAAACAGACTTTTGGTCCGGTATCTGACGCTAGACATCCTCACGCTCTGCATGAGGACCTCCAGTGTCAGATTTTCCCCATAGGAAAGAATTGATTCAGTGCTTTCCTATGGGGTGGTCAAATGCGCGTGCGGGACGGAGGACGGGGCGGAGCTTTGACCCAGCGCCGAGGGACATCTGCGCTGGGATAAGGTAAGTAAATAAAGGCAACAGGTACTATTCAAGAGTGTAATTCTCACTAATCTCAGGTAGATCAAGACATGGTTATCTTCATCTTCCAGGATTAGGCCAGTCTCCGTGAAGGTGATCTGTGCATTATAACCTGTTCATTACGGGGCATAACTGTATTGTTGATGCTCGAAATGCACTGGTCATTTTTTTTAATATTTGTACTCTGATATAGTTACTAGTATATTCAGGTGTAAGAAAGGCCCCAGATATGGAATATGCCATTTGTTATGTTAGGCTAGATGTATATTTTTTTCACACATATCCGGAGTAGTTAAAAGCTGTCACCTCTTTAGATTGGGTGCTTTTATGATCATGTAGAATACAACATGCATTCAATTCCTGTCACGTCTACAGTTATGTGTATAGGTTTTATGCTTATTTTATTGCACAAGTTCTCAAGCATTTTTTTTTTGTTTCTTATTTTTTTTTCTGTTCTGTTCTGTTTTTTTTATATTCAATCAGTCATCTTCATGAGACTTACAACTGTTTCCTGTCAGTTGGCTAACCTCGTACACCCTTAATGGCGAACTGACTGCTCTTCCCAATTGGTGGGACAGAAATATTGTTTTAAATAAGCAGAGGCTAAGCCCAGCCCCAACACTAGAGCCGCGCCATGTGGGATGCAGGGAGCAGGGATATGACGTGTATTATGTCCCTGCCCCCTGTACTCAGCCTTCATTAAGAACTGGCGCCTGAGGCTGTGCAGAGGAAAGCTGCTGCAACTCAGTCACATTACATAGTGTGGGGGGGAAGAGGGAAAAAACAGAGCAGCATGCTGGATGACAATCTCAGCCCGATTGTGAAAACAGCGAGCAGGCCTCCAAGAGCTGCTCACTGTTGATCCATGACCGAGGGCCTGAGTACGCAGTAAGTACCTAGCACTTTGTGAGGGAGTGTATGACCGGTCAGGGAGATATTTTTGTCAGCTCATGCAGCAGCAACCTCTATGAATAATGTGAATGGTTCCGGGAAGCTTTTTAAGTGATATTCATTAAATATGTTACGCTATGATGTTGTTTTGTTTATCCAATTGTAGCTATTATGGAGCTCATCATTTATTGACCTTATAAAGAATACATTCCTAGAATTTGAAGGGAAAGCATATTTTTTTGTCATAATTTAATCACTCTAATACATAATCTATTTCTGAACTTATTTATTGTACTATTACTTTTTATTGTATTAAAGTGCTGCATATTGCATAAGGTTTTATCACTATTTTCCTACATTTCAGGAAGTGCTATATCACCTTTTATATTTCTACCTGTAGTAATTATGTGGTTAAAAGGCTAATTTGAGTTAAATTTAAGTTAAATTTGAGTTAAATTTAAGTTCTTGAGCTGATACCAAACAGAGCAACAAACAGAAGCCCTTAACATATTTATCTTTGAACTCTCCATGGTCCACTAGTGAGGGACCCAGAGGCATTCTGAGAAGGTGCAACTAAGAACTTTAATTTTGTTAAAGAGCACATCTCCCAGCTTGGCTCTTTGTGAATAAACCTCTGTATGTTATGAAAACTACTACTGTACTCACATGAAAAAATAAACTGCGCAGCACTGTTAATTATGTCCATTGAGCTTCCAATTTAAAATGATCTATTTTCAAACATTTGCATGTTCAGATATATGCCTAAATTAAAGCATCAATGGTTTAGCATAGAGTTTGTTTAAGGGACAAAAAGTAATATTTTTTGCTGGAAAACTGTTAGTGAAATCTTTATTTTATCATTTACGCGGAAAAGCGTGGGAGGAGGTTTATGTATACATGAATACGGGTTTACACATGTGTTCCTTATATTTTCTTAATCTGAAAGAGGGAGATTATGGTTGAACAAGCATAGAGCTCAAATTCTAGGTATTATTTTGGTTTAGAACTTGGACAATTGCCTCTGTCTTTAAGGGGTTAATACACATAGCACATATAATCACTAAGTTTTAGGTAATAGTTGCGTTGAGAAAAAACCCATACACACACGTTCCTCCTTAAGATAAGATAAATACTTATGTGCATAACTGTGAAATAGTGTTATTAGACTATTTTGGTTTTAGTGATCAACAAACAAAATATATAAAATATATAAAACTAAAAGCATGTATGACTCATTATTCTTTTGATCAAGTATTAATATATATAGGAATGGTCGTAAAATTAAGGAAACTACGAGCCTTCTAAAATAATCATATTATAATTATGCAATGTTGACATTTGGTTAAGCTTTGTGGGTATTGTATTTAATCCTCTACAGGGGTGTGGACATTTAATAAATATCTACTTTTGCAAAGGAACTAAACTGGTAGCCCAATCTACTTGTCCTGACACAAAAAATCCCAGTCAGGTTTTTTTTTTGTACCCTGATTAGACTTGGAAACTGTTGTTATTCGCTAAACTCTGTTATCATCAATTAAATCTGAATGGGAAAACTGAGCCTAAAGTAGCTGATATGCAAAAGTTCTCCAAATTACGTATAGTCACAAAGGCTGCAATTTTGCCATTTGGGTTTAATTTGTGAATTGTATGCACTGTGTGTAGTGTGTGCTGGCTCTGTGTTATGTGTTTGTGTGTGTGTGTTAGCTATATAACGTGTGTGTGTGTGTGTGCGCTTCCTGCTAGTAATGTTTATGTGATGTGTGTTGTTTGTGTGTTGACAGTATGTAATGTTGGGTGTTTGTGCATGTGTGTGTGTGGTGTGAGCTGCCTGTATGTAATGTGTGTGTAGTGTGTGCTAGCTTATGTAATGTGTGTGTGTCCTGTGTGCTGCCTGCATGTAATGTGTCTATGTGTGTATAAAAATAGGGTGGCACAGAATACAGTAGATCTAATAAATGCAGCAACTAACAAACAAATCCTGGTAATGAAACATGGATACAATAATACAAAAGAAGTTATGGTGCGCAATAATGAAGAAAAAAAACTCACTGTGGGTGCCTTTAAACGACAGAACCTCTATTCAATATATAATACAATCAGCAATCAGCATCTGTGTTACAAGCCTAGGTGCATACTAGGTGTATTATTAATATTACTTATTAGTTCAAAAAGTGGTATATGTGACCAACAAAGTGATATGTGCATATACTTGCATAAATAGCAATTCTGGTATTTGAAAGGAAGACAAAAAAGAGAGAGAACTCCTAGTGCAGGACAATTTAAAATATATATTGTGAAATAATTTAGCTCTCAAAGTATCTCACTCACAAGATAGGAGTGGTAAGGGGCGGAGCCAACGGCCGAGCTGAATGGACATTCATTGCAAGCTCTCCGAAAAAGCCATCAGTAAATCCGTCCACATCGGGGTAAAAACTCAAGATGGGACACCCTAAACAATCCCAAACCCCTCAACACCAAGTGGGAAAATCTCCTGCAAGCAAACATGGCGCTCTAACCAAATTTTTCCGCGATCACGTGGACCTCCAGCAAGATGCTCGGGCCTAAACATGGCACCTGAATCCTCTCAAGAAGGCTCAGCGCCCTCGAGCCCTGAAGGTTCAGCAATATCCTACCCTAAAGAGATCAGGAAGATCTCGTGGCATCCCTAATGGAGCTCTTCCACCTCCTCCTCAACAGCCCCCAGAAACTCAGATACTCCTAGATCAAGCTCATAGAGCCCTAAAACCGAGGGGAGCTTCCTCTGCAGCACCAAGGGATGTGATATGCAGGCTGCACTACTACACCTTGAAGGAGGATATCCTTAAAGCTCTGAGACAAACCTCACAGCCATTACTATTCCATGACTCTCCTGTGCAGATCTACCCGGATTTATCCTGGGCCACCCTGCAAGCAAGAAGGACTCTAAAGCTCATCACGGATCACCTTAGATGGAGAAATAATAAATACAGATGGGGTTTCCCACTCGCCCTCATAGCAACACACATGGGTTCAACGCACCAAATTGCCTCCATTCATGATGTTTCAGCATTCACACAAACCCTAGACTTACCAGATACAAATGTAATGGACTGGTACGGCACATTTCCTGGCTCATCCACTACCCAGTTCCCACAACACGGCAGAGGGCAAACCCCCTCCAACAGATGGATAAACAATCCAGGAGGATCGCGGCGGGACTTAGGCCCCAACACCAGAAGAGCGTCCCGCTAATAACACGCTCCCCAAAGTCCACTCAGGATCCATAAAACGGGACTAGGTTTCCTCACATCTCCTCCCTCACCTCCAGCTCCCGACACAAAGTGGATATGACCCCTGTCTGGGCCCTGATGTGAAGCACCAAGTCTGCCGGAGACACACACTTCCTGGGACAAGGTGGCAGTGAGTGGACCATCCCGCAAGGGCCTTTCTACCCAGGTTATCCCCTTGCCCTGTGTCCTCCCAGGCCAATCCTATGCCCGGCATACAATCTCCCTTTTTCCTATCTCTGACCTGCACCGGCCTTCCCTTCCCCGGACTCTGGGCCTAACCCGCTGACCGCCTAAACCTCATCCACCTCTCCAAACTGTCTCGCACACAAAGCTTACTAATCTCTATAGAGGCAGAGAAAGCCTTCGACAGGGTGGACTGGTCCCTACTCCTAACGACCCTTGAGCACATGGGACTTGGCCCCACATGGCTTAAGTGGATGACGGCACTACAGTCCAATCCCAGTGCAATCCCAGTGCATTAAAGCTCTCACAATCCTTTAATATCAGACATGGCAAGAGACAGGGGTGCTCTTCTTCCCGCTCCTTTTTATACTCATGATGGAGCCCTCCTTACAAGGCATTAGAGACAATCAAGACATTCAGGGGCTAAGGGTATACGGATGGGAGTTCAAGATAGAAGTGTTCGCCGACGACTTCCTTTTCTCGATTACTAACCCCACCACCTCCATGCCAGCCCTTGGACAAGAAATCGATTGCTATGCTAGCCTATTCAATTTTAAAGTAAATTTCACAAAGAGTGAAGTACTCCCACTCAGTGTTGATCCGGCGACTAAACATTCCCTACAATAAACGTTCCAATTCCACTTGGCAGATGATGCGGTGAAATACCTGGGGGTCAAAATCCCACACAACCTATCTGAACTCTATAGCCTAAGCTTCCCACCCCTGTTACAATCTCTCATGAAAGACCTAACCAAACAGAACAAACCTATCTTCAGCTGGCTTAGCCGAATACATATTTTAAAGATGAACATTCTCCCCGAAATCCTGTATCTATTACAAACCCAAAATATTCTTCACCACCCTGAAACACAAATTCACTACATTCATCTGGGCCCATAAACTCCACCCCCTCCCCCCCAACTGCCATACAAACTATTGGCAACGCATAAGATCCAAGGAGACATAGCTAATCTAGAAAACTATCACAAAGCCATAGTCCTCCTGAGGATCTACAAATGAACGATGCCCAAGAACCAAAAACATTGGGTGCAACTTGAATATCTGTGCTTTCTGATACCCCTGCACACTATACCTGGCACGATAATGGTAAATCCCTTCTTAGTACTCCCCATAACACCCACCCAACCATTGTCCCAACCCTGCGCACATGGCAACAAATCAAATCACTGACTAGTATCTCACCACACCCTTCTCCTCTGTACCCATTAACCCACAACCCACTCTTCCAACCAGGCATGAACACATCCATATTCAATAGCCTACACACCTCCAACTACCTTAAGCTGGGAACCCTACTTAACTCTCAGAGGATCAAACCGTTAGATGAGATTACTTCAACCACAACTCCCTTGCCTCTACTGTTCTTCAATATTAGACAGCTTACACACTTCATATCTGTCACATCACCCCTCCGCGATGCAACTAGAGGCTTATCCAAATTCAAGAGCCATTGTGACAACAAGGACCTAAAGATGAAACACATATCAACACTCTATACTCTACTCCAAAATGACACACACCCCCCCCCCAAAACTCCTTCCTATCCTTATGGGAGCAAGAACTACACATCTCCCTATCAGATTCAGAATGTAAACGTATATTCTCCAACATATTTCACTCCTCAATTAGCAACTACACTCATGAACACAATTACAAAAGGGTTGCAAGATTGCATTACACCCCAGCACACCGCCTTTCCACCAACCTCCCAGATACCTGCTGGAGATGCCTCCAGCCCAGAGGCAACCCTGGTCATATATGGTGGCTTTGCCCCATCATCCAAATTTACCGGCAGAGGATGACGGACGTTCACCTCCCCATCACCAAAAGTCTCCCTTTTTCTCTTATACCCACCTCCACTAGCCAAACCTCGAAGAATACTAATTAACCACCTCGTGACAGCGGCCAATATGCTAATCCCACTCTATTGGAAAAAGCAAATCCACCCGTCAATAAGGGAATGGATTCAAAAAATAGAAACAATCAGACTAATGGAAGAGATACACCTATCATTATCACACTCATATTCCCTATACACAGAGTGCTGGTCGCCGTGGCTCACATTTATGCAGAGCCACACAACCACCCAACATAACCCGGAGTAAGAGAAATAACCCAGCCTCCACGACACCAAACCTGCCTCGCACAGACTAGAATTTACCTGACACTAAAAAATCCATAGATTAGAAACCTGAGAAAGACCTTCCTAACAGCAGGGAGGGCAGATGATATAACTGCTATAACTTTAAGACACACCTAAATACGCTCTCCAAATCGCCACATAGAAAGCATATTGTTAAAGCAAACGTTCACAGATGTCTTCGCATAATGTCAAAATCTCATCTCCTTTTAAGATCATTGTATAAACACTGTACTATAATTGTCACAATGTTATTATTTCTTTACCATACCGAAGTTAACAAACGTTGATGTTACACTGCTTGATGCCTGTACTAGACTCTCTGTAACAGAAATAAAAATTTAAATAAAAAAAAAAAAAAGATAGGAGTGGTAAAAGCACCACTCGTGGCTATAGCGTTCAGGGAGGATCAGTCCCTCGAGTACGTGGGATACATAGGATGCACGTGGGCGAGGATATCAGGTAAGTATTCTTTATTATAGAAACATTGTAAAAACAATGAAGGTATATACAATCCTTGGCCAGCTCACCAACCCTTGGAAACCGAAACAAAGTCCAATTTCAGCATATAAAACCGTCCTTCCGATCTCTATTAACGGCTGTGCCTGCAGTTTTTATTGTAAAATCACTTCCTGATTCCTGATCCGTGTCTTCGGCTCATTTGCTGACTATTCCATTGCAATTTCACCTATCATTAGGTGAAGCATTAGGCCCGGCCACTATAAGTAACGGTAATATGCACCTATCCTGTTATTCTCCCTCAATGAGATAGGTGTAGATTCAAGCTCTGCGCGCAGTGGTTTCCCAGACAACGGTGTGGGTCATGCCCCACAACACACATCAAGGTTTTTTTGCTTTTATGGCACCTTGGTAGTGTACTCATGGGGGGTTCATTACAGGTTTCTTTGGTTCTAATGTTTCAATAATATACAGATCCTTTTCGGATTGTAGTATAGTGTCTTTTATAGTATATATAGAATATCTGCCACTGTTTTAGTGGCAGCACAGGTAAAAATCTAACTGAAGCCTTTCAGATAGTGTCTTGCCTTTCGCAGATATATGTGCTGGCAGTGAAATTATTAAATTGACTCCAGTTTTACACCATTTTATTAATCAAAATGCTGATTTAGTCATAGCAGTTTGACTGAGGGAGCAGTAGATTGATTCAGTTTGCACATTTTCAGATAACTTTCAACTTGTAAGTAATACATTGAGAAATTGTTACAAATAAATCTTGGTAGTAGTAGTATATTTTGCTATGTTGCAGTTGAAAGAATAGCAATGTACATACAATGTAACTACTTCCCTTTGCAAAACACTATTTGTGTAGAGCTACTTTTTTAATAATGTGAGTGTTTTGTGTTCTTTTTTTTTTTTTTTAATTCTTTATTTTTGCACACGATAGGCAATGCAAAAATAATACAACTTGGAGGCTTGCGCAGAAGCCAAAATATAAAAGAGCATATTTATAGACATATGAATAAACATCGGCCCCTATGGCAAGCCACTTTATAGTTTCCATACAACTTGCCTCCCATCGAGGATTTTATGATTTTAGGTGGCTACATCACTTAAATTCCCAATTTTACGTACGATAGGCATAGCAAGAGCAATACAACTGTGAGGCTCACGCAGGAGCCTAAATGCTAGGAATCAGACTTGAAAAAATGAAATAATACAATAGCCCAGAAGACAAGCCTCTTAATGAATGCTATTCCACTAGCCTCCCGTTGTTGGTGTTTTGTGTTCTTGTTAATAAGGAATTTAATAACAATTTCCTCATTGTCACGTACTCCATAAAGGTTGTTGTTTTTTTATTAGGTTTTTTTGTTATGTGTTATGAGTGGCCCTCACACCCCGACAGCGTGCTAGAAGAGCAGAGGGGTCTAACATTCAGGGAAGGTACAGGTAGACTGTGATGCTACTAGAGTGTCCTGTAAGGTATAGTCATGGATATAAACTAATCCGGTCAAAAATCACATAATTGCAATGTTATTGAGTTAGATTAGCAGTAGTAAACTATGACTGCTGAAAGTTAGTATATGCTTAAAGCAAAATATGACTCTAGGTGGGGTGAAATTCTCCAGCAACAGATATATCCAGTGGAGCTCCAGACATACCCTACCGATAAAAGGAGCTGGAGTGATAAATGTTTCTAATCCATTGCATAATGATAGTTAGATTTTGTATGCGATTTTCCATTTTAATTCAGCTACTCTGATGCCATGCACACCACATTCTGCATGTCCAACACAACCAGTAGCCTAGGTCAACCTAGTCCTAGTTTATGCTAATAAGAACTAAATACCATATTATATTCATTTAAACCTGGTCCCTATTTACTTAATGCATAAAATGGCCACCTTTGTTATATTTTGTATTTTCATACAGCCCTGCCTGTGTTAATTCAGTGGGTCGCTCCATTTTGGCGTAGAATCCTTGAAATACATTGTTTTATGAAGGCATAAGACATAGCTGGTCCTTAATAGGTTAAAAATGGTAGGCTCCGAGTACAAAAAAAACATAAGCTTACATCGTGTAGGTCAGAAGAAGGCAACCTTCGGCACTCCAGATGTTGTTGACTACATCTCACATGATAATTTGCCATCATTATGGCTGTAGGGGCATTATGGGAGATGTAGTCCACAGCATCTGGAGTGGGGAAGGTTGCCTACCCCTGGTGTGGGTAGTGTATTGAATTGACAGGAGAGTATTCTATGTGATTATATTGAATAATAAGGTAGATATTTGCACTTAAGGCAATAACTAATCTTAGAATATATAAAGATACTCCATGTTGATCAAAAAAAAATAAATAATAGAAGTACACACTACTCCCAATAGTCAAGTGTCAAATGGTCAGAGCGTGCAGATAAATATAATGGAAGCATGTCAATCTTGTCATGTTTAATATTAACAGATTTGGTCGAATGTTTCTTCCTTGTCTGAATGAAAGTTAATCGTCTTAAATTTCTTTACTCGTCAATCAATTATGCTGAATCAAAAACTGTAACTTTAAAACTGAGGCCAATATAGCTAAGTTAGAGCTGCAGTTTAGTTGGATTTGATTTAGAAACACGGACATGAAAATATTAATTTCAAAAAGGAAAAGATCTATAAAAGGTTACTACAAACACCATAACCATTCAGCTGTTTTTCTAGCTCAGACTTTTTGCCTTCATTCTATTTGAGAATATTTCCAACTCTTGCCTAAATTTTACGCATTAGCTTTTCAATTTACCAAAATTAACAGTTTAGTAAATACAGTTCTGTGAGACAAGAGTCGACTATACTTAAAAGTAACAAGGTGCCAGCAAAATAAGACACTTCATAAACTAATTAGCAATGCAAATTAATAATTTCCTTAAGCCATTTCCGTGTCTTCATATCAGGCATGTCACATTCTACAAAGATAACGCAATTGATCCCATTGCTCCATCACCTGCTCCTGACCTAAGTTCACGTAATCCACCAACTCTTACGTAATACGTACCCTTGTAGCCAGGTTAGTTTCTGGAGAGAAAATGACGTACTCTATCCAGCAGCCAGCTCTGCTTGTAAAAGGGGCAAAAAGAAATGTTCTCACTCCCTTATAGAGTACTCTGCTTTTTTAGAACCTCAATGGCGCGGATGGAACGTTCTGTTAGTGCCAAGAACTCTAGCTGGTTATTGATACATTTCTCGTGATTTCAGTTCGCCTACTATTTTTCTCAGCTGGTAAATCTCAGATCTTCGTGATTTCAGTTCGCCTACTATTTTTCTCAGCTGGTAAATCTCAGATCTTACATCCACTGGGGCTTCTCCTTGCGAAATTGGTCATTCAAACTAAGGAGACCTCGAGCTAGGATAAATCTATCAGTGTGTGCCATCACTCCCCCCCCGCCCCCGCCCCCCCCTTGTCCCATACACTGCCCTGAGAGGGGACTCTAGGGGTCAGCCCAGTAATTTCTATAGGATGGTGCCACACTCTGGACAAGCTGGCACATGGTAGGGAACGGGACACAGATCAGGGTGGCATCACAACCACTGCCCCTGGCTCTGAGTGTTAATTGCCACCCCACTCCATGTATGTGGCTCTCACACTACTGGCCGCAGCACAAGGGTTAACTGTTATACGTGAATAATGTGCTTTTTACCCCAAAATGGATGGCACAGTCAGCCGTCACGCCACGCACTCTCTGAATACAGAGCGACCTGTGAGCAGCACAGAGGGATGGGCGACTAAACTAGTTTGGCATTTTCACTAAAAGTTAAACATTTTCTGGGTACTTGAAACAAAACCCAATTCATTAACACGGACAACGAAATTTAAAAAAGCAAGAATCAAAATGAAAAGCATTAATGGATCGTTCCTCAGTTTAACCCACAGCCCGGGACAGTGGAGGCACTTACCACTGAAACATCCTGATGTCCTGGAGGTACTGTTGTGTAGTCGCAGGGCAAGGAGCAGCCACTGGGAGTGAGAGAGGGGGACTGAGATCACAGAGGGGATGATGGAAGGAGGGGTTGCAGAAAGGGGAAGATCCTGCCTACTTTTCCTTTAGCAGTTGCCAAGGTGTAGTCCACATAACGATGGCTAACTTTGCTCAGGTATTTTAACCTCTTAGTTACCAGTGATATAAAATCAATCCCCATGGGGACACGCCTCGTTTATAGTTCCGAGAGGAAGAATGATCCAGCTTGTTACATATGAGAGATTGTCCCATAGAAATGGATTCAAGTGTCTCACTGCATTGAGAGTTCTAAATAAAGCACACACGGTCTCCAGATAGGATCACAGGAGCCACAAATAAAAAGAATGGGCAATTTATCACAATGTTCATCGTTTCACCTTTCATTCTCCACACCTCGTACAGCATTTGTTTTACTTGCTGTTCAAACACCGTACCCAGGCAATAACTGTGTGCTGTATGTCAGCATTCTCCCAAATGGCTGGCGCTTTATAAATGATCATTTTAGCAATAATAACTGCTCTGTTAGAATCAATTGCGTGTCTACCATTGGTATAATTTTTTTGTTTGAAAACGGTTTTTTGTTTGTTTTTTTCCGTTTACTTTTAACCCTCTTTATATACCCGGGTACATTTTCTTTAAAAATAGAACTGTGGATGGGGTGTATAGGTGTGTTCTAGGTGTCGAACCGCTGCCATACTGCTCGTCATTATTATTTGCGGAGTGTTGGACAAGAAAAAACCAGGGACCCAAACCTACCATCACCATTCACCACACTGGCGGATCAAGAATGGGGGTTGCAGCAGAGCACGTGCTCCCTCTAGGTGCCAGACGTGTACAAAATGTAAGCACAAAAAAAGTTACCAAACCGCTTTTCCACACGAAACTGAAGTTTCTTTTTAACATGGATTATTGGATTATTTTTAATCCTTTACAAATAAGGAAGAGCTGGACAAGACACTTATAGAAAAATGAGGCCATTATATATCCATATTGGAGCATTCCTTACAATATAAGATAATATCACTCCTGAATACTAGGCAGGGTTCTCATCTTAATTAGTAGCTGGCCACAACCTGTATAGTTTATCTAACTTATCTCTATTCAAATGTAAATAACAGGAGGTTTTCAGTATCACTCCAATGGCCATTAATGCAGTTTCCATGGAGACAAATAGGTGGAGGGTCTTGACAGTTTGCAGGGAGCAAGGCTGTATAAATTGGTGGATAGAGTACGGTTAGGGGAGTTGGGGTCAGGGGGCGTGTATAGCCTGGGGTAACAGTTACACTCCAGCCATTTTAGTTTTGCAACTGTCCCCTCCTGTATGTTGACCCTCCCTATGGGATTTATGGGTCTTGGAATGTTGGGGTGCTACTTCCACTTTCTGCCTTTTTTTTTTGGCTTTCAGAGGTGGTAGGTCACATGGACGGCAGTGACTGAGAGGCATTATTTGTTTTAGCATTGGCGGTTGTTTGCTCCTGTGGATGGTCTATGGCCGTACAATGAGGACATGGTAAAAAGCCTAACAGGGGCTTGGTGAGAGGTTTTGAACACGAACAGGGGCTCTTAGCCTAAATTGGGGCTGGGCAGATTGTTCTGTCCCAGTGGTTGGATTGGTTTCAACATGGGAACCCCTGGGAGCACGCTGGTTCTGGAAATGTCAAATTATGTTAATGGTTAATTATGTTAAAATATGGTCTATACATTATTTATGGTTATTGTTAACCCTGTTTTAAAATACATTGTCATTGCCTAATTTAATGATGTGGTTCTAATGTGATATGTAATGCTAATTGGAGGCAATGACTATTTAATAAATAGAATGTCTGTGATCTTTTCTACCCACTACACCTGTGCCATGTTGTTTGATTTATGGTAGGCACAGCCTGTACTCAAGGCTAAACTGTTAAGTGCAAGCTTACGTACCCCATGGAGGCAAACCTCTTGGGTGAGTCCTACACTCTCAGTTCACCTTGCTGCTTTCAGCTCAAAGGCAAAAACATAAATGGCTTTTCTTATGAAACCCTTATTAAACCTTATTTTTACTCTCACTTAAAGGACCACTATAGTGCCAGGAAAACATACTCGTTTTCCTGACACTATAGTGCCCTGAGGGTGCCCCCACCCTCAGGGTCCCCCTCCCGCCCGGCTCTGGAAAGGGGAAAAGGGCAGAGAGCTGGGCGGGGAGCTCTCCTCCTCCGATCCTCCTCCTCCAAGAGCTGCGCGCGCATTCAGCTGGTCGCATAGGAAAGGAGTATCAATGCTTTCCTATGGACGCTTGCGTGCTCTCACTGTGATTTTCACAGTGAAAATCACGCAAGCGCCTCTAGCGGCTGTCAATGAGACAGCCGCTAGAGGCTTTGGGGGAAGGCTTAACCCATTTATAAACATAGAAGTTTCTCTGAAACTGCTATGTTTATAAAAAAAAAAATGGGTTAACCCTAGCTGGACCTGGCACCCAGACCACTTCATTAAGCTGAAGTGGTCTGGGTGCCTAGAGTGGTCCTTTAAACTTAACTCCGTATGCATAGCTAGGGCGGCTTTAGGTGCTAAAAATATTAATGTCATTCTACTACACACACTGCAGGTTCATCATGAAGAAAAGCAATTGTTGCTACACTGTATATATTTGTATCTTCTTGGCAATTGTAAAGAAATCAGAGCTGAAACTATACCACTCTGATACATAATGAGAATGTATGGTGCAGTGTCACTTTATTTGTAACCCTGCAATGAATAACATTGGTGTTTAGTAGATAGGGCAATTTTATAATTCTGGGGTTAAAGTGTACTCCACTGTCAAAAATAAATAAATATATCACTGTTTAGTAGATATACCCCAATGAACGCATGCATGCTTTTAATTGAAGATTATGCTAGCTTTAGTGTACTAATAATCTTAATTTTAATAAGGACAGGAGGCGAGTATTTTGCATTAACTCTCTTTACTAAACTCCACAGCAGTAAAGAAAAACGTAAAGAGTAACATTAAATCACTGAGCAGCATAGTATATAAGGGTCATGCTGCCTGTACACTTCCTCTTTCTTAAAGCGACATCCAAGTCCAGATAGAGCTCGAACATCCAGAAACTCAACTAAACAGGAACTGCGGTCTCTGGCGAGCGGAACTTGTGGAGACTCCTGGTAACGAGATAGGAGGAAAGACCAAACGAAGCCATCATCCCATCTTACGGAGTCGTGAGGTTAACGAACCAGCGACCAGTGGAGGTCCTGAAGAGGGTTACACTGAAAGGAGAGTATAAAATCGGTTAGGTACTGAACCGTAACTGTTCACGCCTGTGGGTTCTAACAGAATGGTGTAAGTAAAACAGTACAGACAGACAGTAAGCTGGCCATAGGCTAAGTGTGTGTTAGGTGTAAGCATGTTGTACAACTAAACTGTCCGTCTAAGTGGAAACACCGGGATAGAGATGGAAGGGATACCGAATATATATAGAAGGTAGAGTAACTACTAACCTGAATCCCAAAATCCATCACCTTAAGATCCACTCCCCCGAGGAGTCAGGGTAGGGAACAAAAGGGAGGGAAAATACTCGCCTCCTGTCCTTATTAAAATTAAGATTATTAGTACACTAAAGCTAGCATAATCTTCAATTTTATAACATGACAGGAGGCTTCCTATTTTGCAGTTTTAACGCTGAAGAAGAGACATCCCAGCAGAAGGGGGAGTGCGAAAGTAAAATGTACGGAAAGTGGATTCCCTAGACCAGTCCGCCGTTCGGAGGATATCCGACAGGGACGCCCCTGCCAGGAAGGCTGATGACGCCGCCGCTCCGCGAACGGAGTGGGCGCCGAATGCGGGGTCTATACCTGCGAGGGAAAGGATCCAGCGGATCCATCGGGCCAAGGTGGTAACCGAGACTGGGGCGTGAGGGCGCACGTAGGAGACTAAGAGTTGGCCCGACGTAGAGGACCGGAGCGAGGAGGTAACCGAAACATACCTGCGGAGGGTGGACACGACACAAAGCTGCGGGTCGTCGGGAAAAAATGGGTAAAAGACCGAGGTCGAACCCGACTTAGTGCGACGGGAAATGTGAAACGTGACCCCTTCAGGGGCCACTTCGAAAGCGTCCACGTCGAAGGCCCGAACGTCCGAAACCCGTCGGAAAGATACGAGACAGAGGAGGAAAGCGCACTTAGCGGATAGTTGGCGTAGGGAGAGGCGGTCATTCGGAAGCCAATCCCTGAAGAAGCGGAGAACCAGTCCCACATCCCATAGGTGAGGGTATCTGGGGGCCGGGGGACGGCGGAGCCGCATACCGCGGAGTAGACGGCAGACCAGAGGGTCTTTGCCGACCGGGAGATCCCCGACGGGGGTGTGAGCCGCCGAAATCGCGGAGCGCACGACGTTGACCGAACGGTAAGAGCGGCCAGATGAAAACAAGGAGGAGAGAAAATTAAGAATCATGGGAATAGGTGCTGTAAAGGGATCGGAGTCCCGTTCCATGCACCAAGTAGACCAGGAGGCCCAAGCTGAAAGGTAACAGCGTCTAGTTCCCGGGGCCCAGGAGTCCCATAAGAGGTCCCTAGCAGCCTGCGATAGTCCGCTGACTCGCCAGGAACCCCGGAAAGAGACCAAGCCAACAGAGGTAGCCGGTCTGGCAGGAGTAGTGGGTGGAGATGCCCTTTGGGATCTGTGAGCAGGTCCGGGAAGGATGGTAGGAGAAGAGGGTCCCTGTAGGAGGAGGCCAGGAGGTCTGGGAACCATGGTTGGCTCTGCCACAAGGGCGCTATGACAACCAGTTTGATCTGTTGCGTCCGTATCTGGTGTAGTGTTCTCGCAATCATGGAGAATGGGGGAAAGGCGTAGGCTCCTGTCGCCGGCCATTGTTGGAGAAATGCGTCTGTCGCCTTGCTCTCCGGGTCCGGGAGCCAGCTGAAGAACTCCGGGGTCTGGTGATTGTTGCGAGAGGCAAACAGATCCAGGTGAAAGGGACCCCTCCGGGCTGCAAGGGCCCTGAAGATTCTCGTGTTTAGCTTCCAGTCGCTGACGTCTCTCCAGTGGCGAGAGAACCAGTCGGCTGTGAGATTAATTTCTCCTGGCAAGTATTCTGCCTGTAGCGTGATGTTGCGAGGGAGGCAATAGTCGAAAATGCCTCTCGTGATATCCGACAGCAGGCGAGAGCGAGCGCCTCCCAGGCGGTTGATGTACTGGACTGCGGATACATTGTCCATGCGCAGGAGGATGCAGCAGTTGGATCTTTCCCGGGCCAAGCTGCGAATCGCGAAGGATCCTGCCAGGAGTTCGAGGCAATTGATGTGCATGGAGAGCTCCTGCGCC